GCCTAGTGGTGACATGAGAATAATTAATTTGTGGATCTTTTTCCCAATACAGGTTTGAACGCAGTGCTGTCAAGACTATGGCACTACAGATTGTCCAGAAGTAGCTTTTTAAGCACCCATGAAGACTTCTGGGACTTGGGCACCTCCAGCATCTGCCACTAGATTAACAGGAGTTCAAATACATAGTCTCTGTAAATTCTACAGTTTCTTTCCCCTTTTGCTACAGAACAAGCTGCATAACCTCAGAAAGACGGAGAAAATGCAAGCTCAGACAGCTTTGCTATTTAAAAAAAAAAAAACAAATCACGAACAACTGTTTTACAGACTGTCCAAAGAGATGATTTCAACCCATTGCCTTAAGGTTTTGAGAATCACTTCCCATGAACAGGCGGAGAGCTGTTAGTATTCCCTCGGTACTGTAGGCTGAACCAGGAATCCTGTGACCCACTCTGGGCTGCAGAGACACAGGACAGGATCCAGCCCAAGTAAGATGGTCAGAGGCACGTGACTTGTGAGGAGAGGCTAAGGAGGTTTGGGTTGGTCTGGTGAAGATGAGGCTAAGGCCCGTCTGGGACCACTCGAGAACAGTTAAAAAGGCGATGCAGCCAAACTCTCGGCAGGGGTGACCGAGAGCAGACTGGGAGGTTCGGGATGGATAGTAGGAAAACATTGTTCTCTAGCACTGCAGTGCTGGAACAAGTCACCTGGAGAGGTTGTGCAAGCCCTCTCTTTGCAGGCTTTCTAGACTCAAACCAACAAAGCCATGGCTGAGCCTATCCTGTGCTACACAGGTCTGGCCTGCACGGGAAGCTGGATGAGGCGTGTCCTGGAGGTCCCTCCTGAGCAGCCCTTCTTTCATTCTAATGGGCTGTTACGTACCTATTTCAAAGCACATTTATTTCTGTACACCATGTTTAAGAAATGGTAGTTTGAGATATTTCACTTCCAGGTGAATATAGTGAAGTATAAGATACCGTGATCAGACAAGACAGCAAGCTGATAACGTGCTGTTCGTAAATGCTACACAGCCGCCTGCCTGAATCATAAACTGGTGCTGTAATGGTTCGCTCACATCCACTATTGCCATACATCCAAATTAAGGCCAGTTAGGATTACTTCCCTGTTGAGTAGGCTTCCCTTTAATTAGATATTCCAGAGATAATGTTTTAAGAGCTCATGATTTTATTCCTTTGTTGGGGAGGCAGGCATGAACCAAGAAATTTGGGATGAAACAGCTCTATATTGCCCTTTCCCACTCCAGAGTGGAATGGGTCTCTGTACTTGCCATCTACTGCTGACTAGATAATGCAGCAGCAGCCAGGGTGAGGTTAAGGAGTAATTTAAAAAAACGTTGGCAGACTCCGTTATAAAGACAGAGATGCCTAATCCAAAGTCTCTACTTAATTTTATAAATGTTGTTTCTTGTCAAGCAGCATGGCCACGGTACCAACATAAACATTTCTATCAGATACAGACAGGCCTAGGCTTTCAGTTCAACATTAGCACCATCACAGTTATACCAGTATTTTGCTCAGCTCGCGAAAAGTTAAACCAGTAGAGGAACATTCGTAGAAGCTAAGTATTATCCACACTTGAACTCCGTCACTGTACATAAATCAGCAGCAGCTTTAGCTTTAGACAGATCTCTAACAGCATTGCTATGGCTCAACTGGGTAGCCCAGGGAAGGGAAAGGGCTCATCTTCAGTGCAACATTGATATCAAGTTACTTCACTCAGACTAACCTTGAAAGTACACCCTAAGAAACAACATTTCAGCTACACGGAGTGATTCGATTATGAACACCGTGATTAGATTAGCAGCAGATGACTTGGAAGTCAAGCTGCTGCATCCCCACTGAATTACTAGCTCCACGAGCCGCAGCACTCCCACCCAACCCTCCCCACAGACCAGGCAGTTCAGGCTTTAAGCATCTTTTTAAGCTTCTTCAGACACCAGGTAAACAAAAGTCAAAATTTAAATCTTGCCTCCTATTGTACCAAAACCAAACTGCTATCGTACAAGACCAATTGTTTATCAGGGTCAAAATGACATTTCACAGGTCACAACATTTCATAAATGAAACAGCTCTAAAAGGAAAGCTGACATCGAGCTTACCAGGAGGCCACACGGTCCAAGAGACAGCAGCTTTGAGCAAGACCATCTTCTCAGATCTAGTTATCAGGAACCAGGGCAGAAAAAAGATGAAAAGAAACAAAAATGTAACCAAGTGGACACAAGCATGCAGAGACAAGCCCACTAGTGCAACCTGTCTTCAGCCAGGGCACGGAAAGAGAAGTGGCGGAGTTGCCACTCTTCAGCTCAGCCATATTGATCACCAACCTTGGCCTCTTGCGGGGTCAGCTGATGAGTCGCAACCCAGTAAGCCAAAGGAACTTGCAGCCGTCTGCCCGGCCCCTTGGTTTAATTTTTTTAATCAATTTTGCTTGAGTTGTGTGAATTTAGCTACCGTGCACAAAAGAGCCTTCTTAAGAAAGTATAGACCGTCGCTACATGGGTGTAGGCTCAGGAGAAACAACAGGGCTACGGTGGCTGCTTATTCAAAAGGATGAGGGTACAAAGCCTGTTGTGTCTGTAAAGAGGTTTTGGCTGTGTTCAAATCATTGACAACACTGTTCAAAGACATTTTGCAACAAATTCACTTGATTTTGAGGGTTTTATCAAATAAAATAAGGTACAAAAACATCCATCTGTATCAGCACCAGCTAGAGCATACCCTCTATTTCTCCAGAGTAGTGTTTGGCCGAGTTAACCCATTCTGCTGAGCCTACCCACCCCTGAATTAACTACCAGCTGGGAGCACCCTCCTGCACTGACTGGGAAACCTTTACGGGAGTTACCAGCCCTCCTCCCCTCTCTTCCATCCCCAGGGAGGAAAAAAACCCCATATTGCAAAAATATTTTAACTCAATAGCAACTTCCTCTCCAAGACATCGTAAGATTAAACAAAACTGATGGTTTTTATCCGAAGAATGCAAGGCTATGACTTTCTGGAATTTTTCTGGGGTTTTTATCACTAATTTTGAAATTCAGTGCATTGTAGCTCATGTTATTTACCCAAGAAACACAACCAGAGCATGAGCTATGTGGGAATCACCTGTTTTGTTCAACCCAGTACACTCTACTTTGGTTTGTAGGGAGGTTACATGAGGTCTCCAGTTTCTCCTCTGGAATCTTTATCAAATAGATAAACATAGATAAACTATTGAGAAGGTGTTTTAATCCACAGTTACTTTTAAAAAAACATCTATGTTTGAGACAAAATGTGAGGGGGGAAAACAAGAACAAGAGGAAAAAAAGAAATCTGGAAATCTTTCCATTGGTGTTTTATGGCATAACAAACTACAGCAATTTATTTCCCCATATCCAGTTGTAACGCTAAACCACAGATAAACATTACTAATGCAGCAAGAATGTGTTTCTTCCTTCTGATGGAGGTCCAAGATTGCCCTCTTGAGTATGCCAAACAGCATGGGGTACTTCATTTACCATGTGATTGGCACACACTTCAGTTTTGAATCAGTTTGGAGATGAAATTGTTGGCTAAAGCTCTGGAAATTCTGACTCTAGAGTTGTCAGGCAGGCTGTCTTTACTTTGAGAAAAAATAACTCTTTTTAATAACACTATGATACTTGGCTTTTTATCTGTTTTTACATTGTTCAGTGATGTTTTGCATTTCTACATACTGTACAGCCCCCCAAGAACTTTAGGAGGGGAAACTTCATTAAAAAAAGGTTGATTATTTCAGCATGAGCTAATAAAATTGCTACACATTTGGGGAAATATTCAAATACAATGTATTTTGATGGTATACAAAAAGATCACCCATTGCATGCTGATGTATCTGTTCACTGAAAGGCAGAAATCATTCCTTAACAGCTCATTTTCAAGGCAGCTCTTCCAATGGAGGGAATTCTAAGGGTTGAGTGTTTATTTTTCCATTTATTTTGTAAACAAAGGAAATTATCCCATAAACTTATGCCTTAATTTTTTTCATCAACATTATTTTGCATAGCAACAAGCTTATTTCTAGTGTATTTTAAGACACGCAGTTTGGTTTATTATGTTATTGATATTAATGGAAATGATCCAGAAGAGGAAAACACATTATTTGGAGGTCTGACTCTAATGCCTTCCATGTCCTAAAGCCCGTAAGTATTCTGGGAGCAGAGTGCCTGGAGGATTTGTTCTGAATTCACTTCCTTAGGGACATGTAACTATAAAATCAAGAGTTCTTTTTAGATCCAGTCCACCTCCAACTCAACCCTTTTTTCAGCCTTCCACTTTTCATCTGGAGCTTTTCTCCCCCTCGCTGCCAGGAATGATGCATACATACATGCACTCACATTTTGTGAGGGCACACAGGCACGCAAACATTGTTCTCAACATCTTTTCTTACCCAACCGCTGTGTTATAACCAAACAGTATTTTTCACAGCAATCTAATGTGCAGCTTCCTTTTTATCTAGTTTCTCGAATGGCTAGTAACCTGCCTCACACCCACAAAACCTGTCAGAAAAGTTTCTCTCTTACCTGAACACACAGTTTTGGCTCCCTGCTGTGGTAAAGCCTCAAGGATCCAGCTCTGTTATATACTTCTGTCAACACAGATGCTGTCAGCTGCTTGAGGTACAGCCATACCACTGATTCTGAAGCTGAAGGAGCCTTTGTATCAAGATGAGGGTCAACCAGTATCAAATGACACACGTACAATTGCTACCTCTGTTCTCCTAATAGAGGTATTTCTAAAAATATGTACAATCATGCTGTTCCTTATAATGCTCTTCTTCATTACTTTTTTTTTATAGCAATGTATGTCTTCAGAGTAACAAATGATTGTTGACTTCAATGAACTCTCAACTGTACCACCATGTTCACTTTACACACATTTATTTCATCCTCCATGTGAATATCAAGTAGTTTAGATACTGGAGAAAGGCTCTGCTGGTGATAAATCAGTGATATAAAGGTGTTTTTATGATTAAGATGACTTGCTTGGCTGCAGGTGTTTTTCCTTCTCCGGAGTGGGTTTGTCAGCACAACGTTTTTCTGTGTGGTGTTTTGGATAACGCCTACAAAACGGGCTCTCGGTGTTTTGATCATTCACAAAGGATGTCTGATAAATGGTTAAGCCATCCTCGTTGCTAGGAACTGATTCATGAGCCCAGAGGAAGAAGTTCTGTGAGTTGTGTTGCCGTTTCCCTGGTGCCACCTTCCTCCGGCCCATACTCTATTAAAAAATAAATAAAGAAAAATTCATGTAAACATATGACTTACAATCACAGTTTCACAGATGAATCTTGTAGCAGTCACTACCCCACTGGGAAGTTAACGAAGCTGTTACCACAGTGATTTCAAGAACTCATGGCTGATCTTTAGCAAGTTAAAAATAATATTGTCAGACTTGCCTGTATGAACATTTCTGGTTGCATATATAATGGGAAATCTGTTGACCTTCCATCTCTTAGTACTAATAAACCCCGTATACTTTGCATTTCTGTAGCATACTACGAACTGAAAGCTGTACTCAGCTAAATTCATCTTCAGAGCAACCCAAAGAAATAGGTTAATAATATTATGTTCAGACTGCAATAAAGAAACTGAGACAGACCATGAAATCTCAGTCTCCAAAACTAGGCCTACGTGTCCAAACACAGAGACGGAGCCTGGTTTTCACACTCCACAGCTTGCAGGAAATTTATTTGGAATTACGGTTGATCAGTCTCTCTAAAACTACGAGACACTGCACAAAGTGCCAGAAATGGAGGTTAACCAGTGAATAATGAATACCAAAAAATCTAGGCCTAAGAGAGCCCAAAATCAGACCAGCTTTCAGTATCACAACTCGCTGTTTCCTCCTCTCTCCACTCCACTGAACTCCACTATTTCTGCGGCTGCCTAGAAAGATGTCAACAATCTAAGAAAAGTGGAAAAAACATGACACTGTGGAACATACCGAAAAGCCCAAATGAATTTAAATTCTATTCTTCTGCAACATACAGCCAAACAGGTATATTCTAAAAAGGTGTGGATAGGAAAATAATACATGCTGGAGATACACTGAGGGTTTCCTATGGATTTTGGTTAAACTATGATAAAGATAAGAGTGAACCAAATATATGGGACTGTGAATTATGAGTGGCTGAGACCTCTACAGAAGTTCATCACAAGGCCAATCACTTTTAGCAGACTACTAGGACATATGGTACAGGGTACAAAACTACGTTAAGACATTAAAACCAGGCCCACTAGAAAATGCCTGTCAGAGACCAAATCATGGGGGTTTTGTTCCCCTTGAATTCTGCCACTCTCAGTGACCACACGTGCTGCTTTACAGCTGTGCCAGCCCCAGAGGAGTCCCATCCCTACATTAAGAATAGCATGTTTTCCTTTGTTGTTTGCATTTTCCTCTTCTCATGATTTTTAGCATCTCTAATTTTTACAGGGGAGAGAAGAGATACTGTATTTAATCTCTGGCAGACTGAGAGATATGAAATTGCTTGATTTTCAGTGCTGGGTGCTTACAAAATCAAAATACTCCCCTACATTCTGTAGAGAGTGTCTGTTGTCATGAGAAGAAAACGGGAAATTGTTCACTGCTTTCTGAAAAACAGAAATTATAGAAAAAATGAATTTTCACATACTTTGTTTGGAGTCTACTAGTCTTAGTTCTTCTGTTCTGACAGATGCTGAAAATACAGCTGCCTATGTTCTAGCACAGAAGTAATTCATATATTAAATCTTCAACTGCACAAAATTTTATGTGGACAATGCAGACCCTCTGTATTTTTTTTAATTTATTTATCTATCTATCTATCTATCTATTTACTTCCTCATCAGGATTTGTGTTCCCTTGATTTGCTGAATGTGTAGAAGTGTGAATTTTCAAATAAGAAATGCTGCATTCCGTCTGTAAGCAGCAAACAACTAGATACATGTCAGGATCTCCTTGTTTGATTCGGTTGTAAGCCTAAAGCTAATTAAAATGAAACACAAAAGGGACCTCAAAACTGAATTAATCTATGATTTATGTACTGGATGTCATGTACACTGCTTGTTGCAGGGGAAGTGGAGGAGGTATTAATTGCATAACTAATTTATAATCTCATTCTTCAACATAATGTTCATCCAGTCTCTGAAATGAAACTAGAGTTTAGAAGAAGAAAGGACAGCTGCAAAAGAACTGTTTCAAAAGTAATTTAACAGATTTTATTTTCTACAAGTATGTTTACTATATATCATTGCAATATTATAAAAATAGCTAAAAACTGAAAACTCTTCTGGACTGCCTCTGTTCTTCCTCCAGCATTATTTTTCTGCTTCATGATGAGAACTTTATGGTTTTTATGTAAATACTCCAGCAATTTTTACTTTTAACATCGTGAAAAACATTTTTCATCTTCCAACTACGATATTCACCTCCAAACAGAAGAGCAACTTTTAATGTAACACAATTTAAAAAACGTGTTTCAAGAGTAAGTGGATTTTATGAGATAAAGTCTGAATCAGTTCTAAAGATAAATACAACCAGAGTCCTGATCCAACAAGAAAAATCATTAAATACAAAATCTGCCTGCACAGAGTCGGCTGCACGATCGTATCTTAGGGTGTTTGGTACACCAGACATATTCCCTACCTTTTTTTGGTATGCGTCACACGTTCACTTGTTTTCTCATACAGATTCAACCTGGCTAGTTCAACGGATAAGCAAATGCAACCGATACATTCTCATATGTGTGTTTAAAAAGAAGCACCTTCTAAGTCTGTGAAATGTAAGCCCTACTAAAATATCACCGCAATTACACATCAGTCTTAACATTTTTGGCATAGTGTTTATTACTGGAGCCTATACGCTGCAGGGAAATTGAAAACCAAGGCGGCACATAGTGAATACCATCTCTTGGAAGGATTCCCCATAGTAACTAATGTTTTTAAAAAATCCATTACAGAATAATTATAGAACTATCATGAAGTAAGAAATAAGAGGTAATATAAGCTTAAACAGTACTATATTTCTGAGAAAATTAATTAACCTCACAGCCAGCGAGTTCCCTCATACACAGAGATTAGAGACATTCAGCTTCACATGCAGTGAGCTCCCAACACTCTACCAGCACTTTTTAAAAACGTCACATAAACTTCCTCCGATTGTTCCTGCGACATCACATTTTAGCCCTTAATGCATCTTTGCAACCCCACCGCTGACCTCATTTTAATTCTTCATTTGTGACAGATCGGAATTCCATTAATTCTTTTCAGCAGTGAAGGGCTGGTAAATACAGGGCATAAAACATCTGGTAAACTGTCGTATCAGTGGTGATAAAAGGTCCATCTAACCCGGTTCTGCTTTTCAGACAGTGGCCAAGGCCAGATGCTCTCCAGGAAGGTATAGGGAATATCACCATAACGTCTACTCATGTTACAGCATAATCTTCTCCTTTTCGCTAGCCCCAAGCTTCCCTTTTAAATATTCCTTCCTAGCCCATTTCTGCTCTTCATTATAGCAAACTCTGTGAAATGAACTCAGTATAATTGCTATGCTTATCGAAAATGGAACCAGAAAATGTTCTGTGCACAAAGTGGGTGGGTAAAGCTCACTTGGGGAATAAGGACATGAAAACGTGCTCATGAAATTGTAACATTTTAAATACTCGTGATTTTAAAATAGTGTATTTTGTTTCCAAAATTGTCCCAAAACTCTTCATTTTTAAGCAAGCCTTAAAAATGTTTCAAATGGGAAGCTTCTAACTTTTTGATGATCAAAAAACCGAAATCATTTGCCTGAATATACAGAATTTCTGATATTCAATTCAAAACAGATCATCAAGTTTCAATTAAATGTTCTTACAGGCTTTAGACACAGGTTTGAGACTGAGATCAATCATAATATATTTGGGCACATAACTGTGTCTCAAACAGCTATAGTAGCTAATGAAAGGGAAAAGTAACTGCTGCTGAAAATCAGCAGAAACTACAGCAGGCCTTTGAGTATCCAAAATTATAAGTGAGTAACAACAAAATATGTTTCTTCCTTAGCACAGCTAGCAATCATTTTACTCCCTGAGGCACAAAGTCTGTCAGTCCTCACGACTGCTTTGCTAACTACTCTAAGTGCTATTCGTGTAACTCAGCAAGTGATATCTTGCAAAAAGGAGCTCTATAAATTGACTGTTCTGCCACGGGAACTCACCTGCTCTCGAGATCTGTATGCCTGCGGCAATCTGTCCTCAAGACACTGAGCTGATCCTGAGTTCTGGACCTGTTGTAGTGCAGAGCTTGTGGTTGACTCAGCTTGACTCTGGCATATTCTGTGAGCAAACTAGAAAATAATGGAAATCGTGACTTATTAATAATAATAATAAAAATATAGCCGCCAACAACAACAACAAAATCTGATCAGAAATATGGGCAAAATTTTATTTTCCTGTTTATTTTTTATTATTTGGATTGCAGCGGCACCTAGTGGCCTCTGGAAAAATCAGGAGCCTCCCACACACAACACACCCACTACCCATAAAGATCATACGATGTGGATCAGTATTTCTCCAGGAACTTTAGAAAAACTGTTTATACAGTGAGAATCCATCTAGCAAAACCACTTATGCTATTCCATCTCTTTTTCTCCCCCTGCTGCTCCTGCTGTTGTACTACCGTAGGTTTGAAAGGTTGGAAAAGCACGAAACTTTTGGGGAACAGCTTGGCAAAGCACCAGGCCCACGGATTCAGAACAGCCTGTGCCAGGCATGCCTGGCAGTGCCCTGGGGTCCCAAATGTGCCAGCCCGAGGGCTGCAACACTTCTGGAGGTGAGAACTGATGCAAACGTCAGCTGGCATTTTCCAGAAGACAATCAGCTCGGGTTATGTGCCAATTAAGAGACCTGGAATGCTGGGACAAACAATCTTGCCAGTGTTTGCTTCGTTTGGATGCCTCGGGTGGCTTTGCCTCACCACCAGCAGGAACGGGAAACCTCGTTCCTGGCTGAAGGCCCCCTGGCATGGCGTGG